AGTGATTCCTTCTTGGTCTTCACGATGATAGCAGTTGTCACTCCAATCCCAGACACCTTTTTGGACCACCTCATTTGAGGACAGGTGAATGTCTGATTGGCACCTGGAGAAGCTCAGAGCTGCCAGCCAGACTTTAAGCACCAGTTGCTCTACTCACAGAGAGCATGCCATTCTTGTGGAAGGACAAAAGTTGCGCCAAGAGCCACAGAACATGCCTTAAGTTAGTAGGGAAGCCCAACAGCAGCCATATGGACTTGGGTTGAAGGGAGTTGAGCTGGGTGCTCCTTGACACAGGTGCACCTGAGTAGCCTGAGATGACTGGATCCAGATGAAGAGAAGACCATGTGCCCAGAAACACTGAGGAGCCAGAGAGACAGGGTTACAGACAGACACAGAAGTATTGTCATCTAAGGAGGGCTGAGGAGATCTAGGCTAGTCTTACCGATTCAAGTATTAGCCACAACTGCACACCAGGTTGTAGGTGGGCATAGCCATGAGGGCCATTATGGCAAGAGCTGGTGTGTGTTAAGACCCTGTGGGTCACAGTTCCAATCTGTGCAAAATGGAACCACAGAACACCCACAAAAATGGCTCTGAGTGTGGAAAAAACTGGTTCGTACTTGACCAGTGAGAGAAAATAAACAAACCTTTTGCCATCCTCTAAAAGCAGTCCTACAAAGAGCCTTGTCTGCCTGGGAGCAGGTGGCCTTACAGAGCTGAAGTCCTCGGGCTGCACAGAGAATGGGCCTGAGTAAGACTAGCACCTGGGCAGTGTGTTTCAGGTACACAGCAGGGGAGTGAGACTGAAGAGCGGCAGTTCTGAGCCCATCAAGCTGGTGAGGATGCTCACAATCTTTAAAGGAAGATGGCAAAGGCAAGAGGAATAAGGCCAACAGCAACTCAGTTTATGTCTATCAGAGCTCAGGGATCAAGAACCAGTGGGTTACTCCCAACCTGTAGGTAAACTGAGGGCAAGTCACCAGAACTGAACTTGGTTGCGATCAGCGAGTCTGTACTCCACACTGCGGCCAGCTCACCAATGTGCCAGACAGGAGGGACAGGAAGAAGAGGAAACCTCCAAACACATGGGGCTGAGGACACAGGGCAGGGAGAGAGAAGGATGTAATTAGGACAGCCACTGCCTGTGGCCTGATGGTGCTTGCCTCATGTACTCTACTCTACACGAAAGACGCCAGGCTGTGTGTTTTTTATGCACGTCTCAAAATACTAATCTAGAAAATAATACCTGTCACTTCAGAGTTGCCAAGGAGTCCTGGGAGGCAATTCCCGGCCTTCTAGGAAAGACCAGTCACCTAGTGTCATCAGAAGTCTAGCACTGACTGCCTGAGTCACCACCTATTTGCCTATAAAGCCACTGACCACAGGTACTGTGGCGGGCCTGGTCAGGCAGGTTCTGTGACTGGCCAAGGGACAAAGTCTCTATGATGAAGGGTCATGCATGAATCAATGATCTAGTTAAGGATGGGAGCCATGGCACCAGGGAACCACTGGATGTTTTGTTTGTTTTCCTCCCTCATGAGCCCTTCCACATCTGCCTTGGCTATACATGAATATTCTTGGCACTTCTGCACCCAAGAGTAAAACTCAAGTTTATTCCTTCATTGGAAAATCCTTTGATTAAATACTGCATTACCTTAACACACTTTCACCAACATCTCTTAAGACTGAAGTAACAAGAATAAAGGTCACCAGTGTCTCACAGGCGATGACTAGGGAAATGTTAGACTTCTTCCGTGACTAAGAAATGGGACAACAGGCCTCAAGGAACATGAACAGTGAAGAACAAGGTCACATGTCAACTGGTGGGGACTCAAGGCCAGGACCCTATAACCTTCTATGCCTTCCCTGCCTTTTTTAGAAGGCTGCCACCACTAGCATGGGACAGGGGAATGGCAGCATGGGCAAGCTGTCCAAGTGTGTGCTCTCTACAACTGCCCAGGGAAATAGGTGAGAGGCCAGAACTACCCAGAGATTTGTCTTTAGGAAGGGTCTTGTTCCACTGGATCCAACAAGGCTCCCTCGCACATGCCCCTGTACTGGTTGCTCTGAGGAGACCGAGCCTATTAAGGGAGGTGGCGTTCCCTCCCTGACAGAGGGAGTGGCATCTGAGACTACCCTGATGTTGATGCTAATAGCCTCCATGTTAGGGTGAGGAAACTGAAGCTGGAGGGGGAGGGATTGGTCTGGACAGGTGCAAGTCACAAAGGCAGAGAACAGAAGAGCCAGGGCTCCTTGACTCCTCATAGCGGGGTTTTAGCCTTCTAATACACTCCTAACCCTGGTGTTTGAGTCCCTTTCCTAGATTCCCAAAGGAAGACAGGCAGATATGGCATCTCCAGCTACTTGGCATTACCTGACCAGAATGTACAATGCTGTTCCCAACATACTCCATTCACCCAGTGCTGGCTTGCTAAACTCACCATTGTCACTTCTGAGTCCTTTCTCCTCATTCCCAGCGAGCTACACAGGGTGGTGGCCTTCTCCACATCCCTAAGGGTCGAATCCACCTCACATGCTGTTTACTGCGATGGGAACTGGAGCTCTCAAGACTGTTTTAGGGCTTGCTTGCAACAATGCAGCTTTAAGGTCCTCCCTTAGTGCCCCCCAACTGTCAGTGTTCTAGGTTTAAAGATACTGACCCTTTTCCCCAGAAGCTTTTTAGGGTCCTTCATTTTACTTTTCAGTTCAGTCTCTATCTGTCAGCAAGATGCTGGATTAGATGGCGAAAAAGCAACATCTCATTTATTATTTCACTGCTCAAATATTCACACTCAATCTTCAGGTCTGAAAGCTAATCCTCTCAGGTCTGTATCGGCTCCTTCCTGAGACCCCCAGAACCTCCCCCCTGCCAGTGCTTAGTCACATATCTCTAGGGTGACTTGATCAATAAATACCCTTTCTCTTTGGCCTGGAGGGCACTGTGATGGTGGAAACTGTCCACTGTGGTCCCAGGGTCTCACCACACATGAGATTCTAACAAAAATTGGAGAATAGTAGGGCAGACCTCCTGAATAGGACTCATGGGCCATGCATGCCCTCCAGGGACCCAATCTCTTAAGAGGACATACCTCAGCAACAGTATTCATGACGGCTAAATGATGGGCTGTAAACAAGCTTTCACCACAGAGAAGGAAGAAATGAAGGTGGTGTCTGAGAGCACATGGTAAACTCATCAAAGCACATGCAGGCAGGATCCCAGAGGACCCTGCCACCAAGTCTGTCCAGCCACTTCCCTCCGTTGGGCTCCAAAAGAGTCTAGGATTCGGGAAGACAAGACTCCCAGATCACCAGGGCTGGGAAAACTGTATTTGTTCCAAAGACCATATTTTACCTATCAGGAAACTGACGCAGAAGCAGGACACCTGCTTCAAAGAGCCACAGTGGCAACAGAAGAGCAGTGTGAGGCCCTAAGGCCTGGTGGTCTTCTGCACAAGTAGTGTCTTCTTTTTGTTTTCCTGGAAGATAGTTCAGGAGGGGGTGGCGTCCTAGGTGCTGTGGGAGCCCTGTGGGCAGACAGAACCCTATGTGGCAGGCACCCTGTGAAGGACGGGCTATCAGCACCCTACTGGAAGGACCATAAATCTTCTGGAGGGAGGGTTATATGTGACTCTCAAGCACATGACCTAAAACAGAAAGCCGCTTTTCAAGGGAGAGCAAAATAAGTAATGATCTTGGCTTCATTTACAATCCAGGTGCCTCCACAGGAGGGGAACACAAAAGCCTCTGCTTGCTTTGTTTTGCTAAGTCTCCCCACTAGGTTAGAATCAGGAGGTCCTAGAGTGTCAGACGCCTGCTTGTCCTGAAATCCCCAGCCAGCCTAGTACAGGGTCTCTGTGCTTGTTGAACAAACTAGCTTTTCCCTATGCCCAGCTCTTCAACTTGTCAAGTTCTGCAGAACCACCACAGTTATACATAGCAAAGACCTCAAGAAGCAAGAGCCAACACAAAGCAGATAGAAGACATCCCAAGAATGGTCACCGAAATTTTTCAAAGAAAACCCCTTCAAAACAGATATATCTTTGGTAATTTCGTTTTATTTTGTATTAGATGGGATCTCACTCTGTAGTCCAGACTGGCCTAGAACTCAGAGCAATCTTCCTGCCTCAGCTTCCTAAGTGCTAGGATTATAGGTATGACACCTGGCTCTTTTGAAAGTTATAATCGAGAAGAGGAAAGCGTGGACCAGCAATGCCAGTAATGGAAAAAACAAAACAAAACAAAACAAAAAACAGGCAGAAGAGCAGAAGTAAATCCACACAGCTTTCCCACAGTAAAGGAAAAAGAAAAGTCTATGTAGGTCACCATGAATTTCCCTAAACTCACCAAACCATCCTCAAACATTACCCTAGCAGCCCTCACAACAGCTCTGACTTCTCAGGCAGTGCTTCTATTCTGCTTTTTCACAGAGAAGAGGCTTGGACATGGATGTCCAGCACAGAGCCCTGACATGCTGCCACAACTGAGTGTCCCAAGTCATAGCCACAGTTAATGTGTGTACATCTACAGCAAAGGACTGCACCCCCTGTGCTTCTAGCTATCACCTGAGATATGCTGGGTAGATGGCAAACCTTATTTATTTTTCCAGTTGAAATGCCATGAGGGGGTTTCACGTATTTTTACTTCAAAAGCAGCTCCATAAAAATCCTTGATGATTAGAGCCCCAGCTGTCCTAAGTTGTTTATCAAGGGATCAATTACTCAAATCTTGTATCGAGCAAACAGTTTCAGGTGGGAAGCCATGGGAGCTGAGAAGTACAAATGTCTCATCTCTGAAAACTTTCAGACTTCCTCCTGTTCACTGCCTCAATTGCCCCTCGCCCCTCCCCCAGCCCCACCATCTGCTCTCCAGAGAACAGATCAAATTCTCTAGCTAAGGTACTTTGGCGCCAAGGACTCAGCCCCTTGTGTTTTACCCTGCCCCCCCCCTCAGAAATCCAACACCATGACCCAAATGGACTGCAGCCACATCAAACCATGAAGTAAAGTTTATAAAGCTTTATTAAACATTTCAAACAGCTGTAGAACGAACACACCAGAAAAAAAAAAAAAGCTTTACAACAGCAGTCTGAGTGTTTCACAAGTGTGGCCTCGAAGTCCAACTCCCCAGATGTGCTTCAGTTCTGGGCCTGGCCCACCACCCTCACTGGCACACAAGAAAGGACGTTTCCGACTGGAAGAACAACCATGCTGCTCCCCAGTGGGCAGAGGCCAGGAGAAAGTCTCATTTGCCAACACTTGTTACTGAAGCGCAGAGGAAATAAAACAAGTACCAAGTCATCAAGTCTTCCTGTGCATTCTTCATAGTGTACAGTCTATGTGCGCAGGAACGACGCGGCTCCTGGCGGGAGGATGATGGCCACTGCTCCCTGGGTCTTGTCTGAACCACCTTGGAGTCCACTGTGCTGGTCACTCTGCAATCCCCATGCTAAATAAAAACTGCAGTGGGACCTACTACAGCTAGCTACTACTACTAAACCTCAAAATCAGAACACATTCAGTAAAGCTTCTTCAAAAGGAATATACATATGTATTTGTATGTGTACACACACACACACACACATTCTCACACGCGTGCGTGCACACATATACAGAGCACATCAAAAAATACCCAAACACCTATGAAGGGAATCATGGCTGCTATGAAACACATAATACTTTCCCGTTCCCTCAGCTGGGGACCACTGGGTCTACAAGAATACTGCATACCTCCCTCCTGAAGAGCATGCACTGGAGACAAGAGGTGGTCCCCTTAGGACGGCTGAGAGAGGCAGGAGGAAGAGCAAAGGGAGAGAGGCTGGGCTGGAAGGCAAGAGGCCAGACACCCAGGCCAAAGAACTATGTCTCTCCATTGCTTCTTTCTTAAAAATGAGGCAGAGAAAATACTGGAGGTTTGTGGACAATGAGCAGTTGAGACATGATTCCGTCTCACCTGCTCAACAGGGAAAGAGGGGTGAAAAAGCGAGGCTCTCGGGCGTCAGCAATCTCTTCAAATTTGAGATAAGTGCAAAAACAAGCCCTGTCTTGGACAGGTGCTCCCCCCAAAAGGACAGGGGTGGGAGAGAACCAAGGGGAAACCAGGAAAAGGGACTGTGGAGGGACGGAGGAAGATCCTGACGAGGAAGGGTCATGGAGGTGACAATGAGACTAGCATTGTATCTGCCCAGGTCATACCAAGGGTGACTGACCAGGATGGGTGGAGACTCCCCAAAACGATGAGCAAGGGGGTGGGCCAATCCGTCAGCCGGGACCCAGATGGTAACAGAATACACAACCATAAGACCACCCACAACTACAGGACGCTACAACAGAAGCACCGGTCAGTGCCATTATTCACATTATAAGGATAAAACATCACAGGTCAAAAGGCTCCATTAGGAATGTGGCACCCGCAGGGCTGCGGGATTTGAAACTCCAATGCTTTATGACCTATGTCAATGTCTCCCCTCCCGTCTTCTGCTTCCTCAGAAAGCTATTTCGGCAGCTGTTAGGTGCCCACAACACCAGGGTCATGGGCTGATTCCGGAAGTGGGGAATCGGAGCAGTGGTACAGGAAACAATTTCCCCAGCAGCTATAGCAGATAAGGAAGAGGGCTGCCAGGAAAACCAAGGCACATATTGTGCAAGGTTTCCGTTCCAGGAGGAAGCTGAGCAGGTAGAAGCCCATGAACATGGAGTGGCTGAACCACAGAGCGGGGTTGAGGGGCTTGGGGATGAGGAGGACGGGCAGCAACCACTGGAGGCAATACATGATCTCTGCCGGGCAGGGCCTTCACCAAGGCTGCCAAGCACCGCTGCAGGAGCCGACCTAATGGGAGCCAGCAGGCACAGGTGGCTGCCCTCCGTTTTCTTCAACTCTCTCTCCAGGAGCTGAGCCGCTGTGCTCTCTGGCTGTCAGCCCGGGATCACCAAGGCAGCAAGGATCCTGAAGAGAAAAGTCAACACAACAAAGAACAGACAGACAGACAAAAACAAAAAACAACAAACAAACAAACAAAAAAAAAAACAGGAACAAAATGTATACTTATTTGGGAAAATGGATCATGGTTAACAACAGCAAATGTGATTGCCCTTTCCTCCCCACCCACCCCTGAGTGTCTACTCCTATCCAAATTACTAGTTTAAGACAGCCTCCTGGGGTGTGTCGTCCCTGGGCTTCTACTGGGGGCTCCCAGGAGGGCACGGTCCCCACAGTGGACTGGCTTTGCCTGGACCCTGCCCAGCAGAGATCATGTATCGCCTCCTGGGGCTGCGGCCCGTCCTCAAAGGTCCCAGACCTCACAATACCGCCCTGTGGTTGCCACAGGACACCATGGACTTGGTGTTGTGCCCCCATGTGGTAAGAAATGGTTCTGTAGCTTGTCTCGCATCTGCAGCTCCAGAGCGAGGAGTACGTCAAGTTACAGCAGTTATCTGTGAACTGCTAACCTGGATGCCAGACAGTAGATACAAAGATCCTGGCAACCTATGGAAAGGCACAGTAAAGTGGCACCAAATATTTTAAGATGGCACCCTGGGCCATGCTTGCTTTTTACAAATAGTCTAGTATCATTTAGCCCAAACCAGCCAACTTCTTTGAAAGTCAATGTTAAAAACAAAACAAAACAAAAACCCCACACACAAAACCACAACACTTGGAACACTAAACCTTCATCTGTTACTGACATTGAACAGAACCAGGTCTCTGTAAGTTTGTAATCAAAATTAATATCCTGTCCACATAGGGGCAAATACATTTGGCCTCTGTGCCAAGTAGCTTGATTGCAAGTTAGTCTTTCCACCCTAACCATGCTCCACTAGAGATTTATAAGAGAAGGACACTGCTTTACTTTGAAACTAGGCGACAGCAGCCATATTAAGACATAACCCTGGGTGGCTACACCAAAATCCGTTCTGTGCTCCAGCCACGAAGCAAACTGATACAAAGAACCACCCAGACTCAGGCAGACCTACTAGGGGTTGGAGGAGGGGAGCACAAGAGAGAGACTGATATCATCTGCCCCGCAGAAAACTAGTTCCAAATACATTTGGACCACTTCTCCATAAATCTCGCTCCTTTGGCGCACACAAAGGGCATCAATCCTTCCTACATCCCTTTCAGAGGAGATACAATCGCTTTAGCTACTAAGACCGGAACACTGGTCCAGCTCAGGACCACAGGCACCATGGCCTGCTAGGCAGAGCCAGGGAAGCAACAGGCAGGAAAGTTGTAGACAATTAAGGACTCTCACAAAACAGCAGTTAAAATTCACTGCATATTAGGAGTGCTGAGAAAGGGGTATACTTTTTGCTTTCGGAGATTGCCTCCCATAACTTGGTTTTCCCAACCGTATGGAAGGTATATTTTAGCGCGGCACTGGTTATGAGGCTCGGATTTGCAGACGTAGGTGTGTCATACCAAAAGGCTTGCACCCTACCCTCACTCGATATTCTAGAGCCATGACTCCCTCCATTTTACACCGGATTTCAAAAGCGGGCAACGCAGAATCTCCTGGAAGGGTGTTACGAGCGAGCGGACTCAGGAGGTTGGGGCCGGTGTGGAAAGGACAGATTTTTTTTTTTTTTAAAGATTCATTTATTTATTATGTATACAGTGTTCTGTCTGTATGTAACCCTCCAGGCCAGAAGAGGGCACCAGATCTCATTATAGATGGTTGTGAGCCACCATATAGTTGCTGGGAATTGAACTCAGGACTTCTGAGAGACTAGCCAGTCAGTGTTCTTAACCACTGAGCCATCTTTCCAGCTCCCAGATTTTTTTTTTCTCTCCTGGCAAAGGAGGAGCGGCCCCCACCACCCCTCAAATCCTCCCCCAAGCGCGCATGCGCACTTAGGTGGCAGGCGGGTACTTAAGGCCCGGCCACCGCGGCTGCGGCAACAGCACTCGTTCTCGATCACTCACTATCGGAACCATGGCCGCAGTGGCAGCAGCCTCGGCAGAACTGCTCATCATCGGCTGGTACATCTTCCGCGTGCTGCTGCAGGTGAGTATACGCCCGGGCTTTGGGTGGGAGAGGACACCCGAAGCGCGCCCCAGACCCCTAATCCCCGCCGCGACTGCCGCCTTCCCCAACCCATTCTATCCCAATTGCCGTGATTCCTGTCTACCAAAGTGCCGCGGTGGTATGATTTGTCCCCTCCCGTTCCCGTGCCCACATCCTCGCACAGACCCTGTCCCCAATGCGCCCGCGCCCAGCCGGGAACAAAGACTCAGGGGTGCGGCGGTCGCCCGCTGCGGACGATCTTAACGCGACCAATGCGTTAAGAAACACCCGCTGTACTCAGATTCAGTCCCAGGAGGGAGGCGGGGCACTTGTATGCGAGACTTTACAGCTCGCCCACAGAAAAATTTCGCCTTAAAAAATTACGCATTGCGGGAAATTTTCTTTTAGAATACACTAATTACACATACAACACTTGTGGGGTGGGATGAAAAATAAGTTAGAAAATGGCACTTTCAGGAAAAAAAAAACACTCAACAAAAAAAACCTCGATAAATTAAGGGAAAAAGTAAAGGGGAGATAATAGAGAAAACACGCATTGCAGGAAAAATAAACCAGACAAAGGCACTTGGTAGTTAAAAAAAATCATTAGATAAAGAGCACTGAAGTGAGACAAAGGGACAGAAAATAGAACTGGATACACACTTTGAATAAAATAATTTGAGGAAAATGTCTTTCACGGGGAAAAAATGGAAAGGGAAAGCGAGCTTCCCCCAAAGGGCAAACCATTGTATGGAAAAAGAGAGGGCGCACAAAAGTGCTTTTCTTAAAGTCAAATTGGAAGAAGGCGCTTTGTGCACAAAAACCCATCTACCCCGAGAGCTCCCTTTTCAGGAAGAGTTCCTGCTAAAGGAATCCTTTGCCAAAGGAATTGCATATTTCCTTCAAGGTGTTCCTGGAATGCTGCATTTACTGGGTAGGATTCGCTTTTCGAAATCCACCAGGGACACAGCCCATTGCGAGAAGTGAGGTATACCTAAGTTGTGGGTCCAATCAGCTTGCAGCCATGCAGCTCTCAGCAGTTGGAAAAGCTCCAGCTGCCCTGACTCCTGGGCAAGCTGTGCCCCCCCAAGCAGCAGCAGCATTACAGAGTCACAGGTCTTTCTCTAAGGGTGGGTCCTGGATCTCTCACCGCAGGTGTTCAGGTACTCCCTGCAGAAGCTGGCGCACACGGTGTCCAGGACCGGGCGGCAGGTGCTGGGGGAGCGCAGGCAGCGAGCCCCCAACTGAGGCCCCAGATCCCAGCCCTGGGCGGCCGTGTCATCAGGTGCTCCTGTGCTTCTCGACCAGCATGGGAGCCAGTGCCGCGCAGGAATGAGGGGTCTCCTGTGCTCTCTCGTCAGAGGAGCACTTGCCAAGGTCAGTGAGGGGCCAGTAGGCCCCAGAGAAGCAGCACCGACAAACGATGAAGATATGAGTTCCCTTCCAGCCCCTTTGCCCCCTTCCCACTACCGGCGGGTGGGAGAGGAGGGGGAAAATGGAGCAAACCCTGGAGATCTGGGTGTAGGCACCACATTCTGATCTGGACCAAGTTGGAACAGCACCATTTCAGCCACACGAGATCCTACCAGAGATCCAACACCCCACCAACCAGCAGAATGGACACTCTGACATCACCAGCTGAAGCCCTGAATCTTAGTGCAGAAGAGAAAACATCAACTGTGTGCCACATGGCGGGACTGGAGGGCGTGGTGAGGGAGGAAGAAAGTTAAGAAATTCAGTGGAGCCTCTGGATGTCCCTTGTCTGTGGCACACACATTCCTGCCTTGCTCCCTCATTCCCCCCTCCCCCGTGCCTTTCAAGCCCCCCCTCAAAAAGTGTCACTTGATTCGGACCTATTTAACCAGTAACTGAATCCAACCTTCACCAAAACGCCTTCTCTGACCCGGGCCTTCACTGATCTTGCTATCCCTGATCTCATGCAGCCGTTGTGGTCAATATTGTGGTAGTCGCTAATTGTACTAGTTTAAGTGTGCGTTAGTTGTGTCTCCCCAGCTAGATTGTAAGCTCCTCGAGATCAGGGACCACCCCCACAAAAAATAAAAACGGATCCCTCCTGTCTTGTACAGTGTCCTAGGACTGTGCAGGGCAGTAGGGGTGCACCAAAAGTTCCTTTGTGGCTTCTTTTGCGACAGCGTCACATCTCTAAAGCTGGGCAATGTGCCCACTATGGAGGGAAACGGAGGAGGGGGGACAAGAAAACAAGAATGAATGAAGACTCTCATACCTGCCTCATTTCAATACTGTCCTAAAATAAAGGGCTATTTCTCATCCCCAATCAAAAAGTGGTATTCATCTGTCCCAGAATAAGGGACAATCCCCTTCCCCAGGATGATGGGTATGTTTACTTGGTGGTCCTGAGATAAGGTACCATGTCAGGTTTCAATTTGGGAAAGATGGGGAGAAAGTAAATGGGAATGGCCCTTTAAATGGGATCTTGAGGACCATAAGGGCTGATCTGAGAATATAAAGCTATACCTGAGAACTCCACCCCAGAGCCCCAAGAAATGATTGCTGGGCAGGAGAGGGGGCACTAGCTTAGACAAAGCCATGGTTTGGCAACTCCTCCACCCAGCTCAATGCTCTAGGCCCCAGGATCACCCCAAGGTTATCTTGCCTGACTCTTCCACCCTCCAACTAGATACTGCCCCCCTCAACTTTCTTGGTATATCCTAAACAACCTTATCAGGTTGCTAGTCCATTCCATTGCATCAGGGAGGGTGGGCTGCTCGCTTAGTACCCCTCTCCTTGGTTAGCCTCGGCTCTTCTCACAAGTGTCAGATGACTGCCTCACCAAATGGCCCTGCCACCCGTTAAGCTACATCTCTGGTTTTATCCATCCTGGTCACTGCACCTGTTCCTATGTTAATACTAAAGGAATGAGTTGGAAGATCATGTATCTTGCCTGCTACTTCCTCAAATCCCTTAGTCATGGTTGTAACATCATAAATACTCGGGCACACAAAGCACCTTGACCCCCTGGAGCCCTGATCATGTCTCAATCCCCCCGAGAAAGCCTAATTTTCAGGTCAATCATTGGTACTTTTGAAAATACTTGTAATTTCATTCAGCACCAGGGAATTATGGAGGCAAGTAGAGCAAAACTTTACCATCCATCAAATCAGCTTAGGCTTCTCAGCCAAGTTGCTTTTAGTTCTCTAAGGTCCAGATGAACCCCATACACATCAGAGAAAGTCAGGATTCCACAGGACTTGGGTGTGACATGCATTCTCTAAGACTCCATCTTCCTCAGGAGGGGGATACAGCTGCTGCCAAGGTAGGTCAGGTCTTTAGCCCCAGGGTTACTCATCAGCAGTCAGCACCTGCTTCCTTCATGACTGGAAATTTCTGTAGTTTGTCATACTAAACCCATTGAGCCATGAGGACATATCAACACAGGCTCCCAATGAAGGCTGACTCTCTCTTTGGAGACGTGGGGGGCAGGCACTGTCAGTCTATTGTTCCATATGTTCTAACCTAGGCATAAGCTAGATGCCAGCTGAGTTCACAAAGACAGGTCAAAAAGGGAGGAAGAAGTCTGGCTACTTTGGACATAGCACATCTTGTCCCCTCACCTGCAAGCCAGGAGGCTACTGGTAACTTCAGGGCTCTCCAGATGAAAGTTTTTTCCTCCATCTACCCTCCAGCAGTGCTGAGTGTAGTGTAGTTAGGTGGACTTCCAGGCAAGGGCTGCTCTGGTGGCTTTTATAATGCGCAATGTCCACTATCCAGTTTTTTCTCCCACCCCATACCCTGCTGTCCTGACAGCAAACTAAACCCACCAGAGAAGGCAGAAGGAATGTGTTCATGCCCCATCCTTGTGTTACATCTGCAAGCCTGATCCAAATATACCTTATTTATAAAATGTTTCCGCAAGGTATATACTATTTAAACATTTTATTCTCACATAAACAATGGGGTGTGTTCCTTTATTGCCAAGCCTTTAGTACACAGAGCTAGATATCCCTTTTTCCTAAAGAGGCTGCCACCTCCAAGCAGGGACAAAGGCAGAGCACACAAGTTGTGAGGGAAGTGGAATAGCTTTACGGGAATCTAGTAACACATGAAGATTCCAGGGACTAATGCTAGAGAAGGCTGCTTCTTGGGCTGACCAGTTAGTTCAAGTTCAGTAGGGTGGAGGTCACTGAGAACCAAAACTTTTAGAGATGTGGTTCTAGGTGACTGTTACCTCTATCTGCAGAGTGACTGAGCTGTGACTGAAAGAAGGGATTCCTTTGAGGGACAGGACAGGGTATATGTTTTCTGGCTTGGGCTATGGGGCCAGCCAAAGATAGCCTCCTTCTACTGAGGCTCTGGGGCAAGCAGGCTTGCTGTTGGCCACTTCCTAGATATCTACTTTCAAACGTGGATCTCTTCAGGAGCCAACACCCCAAAGGGAGAGTCTCAGCTGGCAATCTCCCCCAGGAGATTTAAATGTGTTCTCTCTCTCTCTCTCTCTCTCTCTCTCTCTCTCTCTCTCTCTCTCTCTCTCTCTCTCTCTCTCTCTCTGTCTCTGCCCCCACACCCCAGTCTATCAAAGTCTCTTTTTCCAGGTGACCACTGACTTCTTCCACATTCACCACAATCTTCTCTGGAAACGATCCTGTCTCCCTTCCACAGGGCTTATACCACAGCAGGATACAGATACCTGAACATTCTTGGGGCAGAGCCAGGAGACAGAGAGGAAGGCAATAAACGGCTCTTGGTAGATCACACAGTGACAAGCTTGCAATGAAACGCACGTGTTTCAAAGATAGAGAACAAGAACAGAGGGCAGCCTAACTCTGATTCCCCTTAGAAACAACAGACAAGAAGTTAAACTGACTTGGCAGCAACTTGAAGATGCTCACTTTCAGATACAGAATTGATCGGGTCCCTGGAAACTGACCAATGTTCCAGACACCCAATCTCTGAATAGGAATTCTTGACATTAATGAATTGTGATTTAAAAGAAACAAGTAAGCTCGCTCTAACACTTGGCATGAGCACATAAAACGAAACTTTTTTGGGTCCTGGCTTTGGTGTTGAAGTCCAGAAGGCTGACAGGATGGTTGAACCATGTCAGGCAGGGCAGAGAAGCCGTCCCCAATACATCAGTTCCCTGAAAGGGACAAAAGAAGATCCGAACCTATAAACAGAAAGAACCTACAAACCAGAACAGGTCCCAGTTTCCCAACTAAAAAGAAACATGGGACCTAGAAGGAAACGAAAGGTGGTTTGGAAGGAGGAAGGAAAAATCGATTGTCCCCATCCCCCATTCTTCCTTTCCAGGCCAAGGCGAGTGTGACAGGCATTCCATTCCTTCTGCTGCCCTTGAGGGCCACTCCCCACACACCGGAGGAGAGGGAACCGGTGTCCAGAATCGGTGAAAAGTTTGTGGGAGAAGGATCCGGGACCCGAAGCAGATGGTCACCCAATTACTCCAGATACCAAAGACAGGGTTGGGAGCCTAGTTCTCCCTTCTCCCCACACTTCTTCGGAAGGAGGGGAGAAGAGACTGAAGTGGCGAGGAAAGAGTGGCCCGCCTCTCAGAAGCTGAGCCCCTTGCCAAGGGCTCGAGCAGAGGAGGTGGTGGTCGCGCCCCTCTGTCCCAGTCCCATCCGGGGAGCTCGCTGACCTTGTAGGCAAAAGTAACAGCTAGAAGCCCCGGAACCCACCCTCGGGACAAGAAGGGGACACTCCCACCAAGGTCCAGATTGGGGAGAAGCCGGGCGGTCGCCCGACGCGGGTACGCCCGCCCCCGGCCGCGCGGAAGGAAAGTCCCGGCGAGGGGCCAGGCGGCGCCTAAGGTGACCCCGGAGGGCCAACATGGCGCCGCGGCCGCGCCCAGGACCTCTCACCCTGCCCAGGCGGGCGACGCCACGATACCTGCGAGCCCCGCCATGGCGCTGCCGCCACTGTCGCCGTCGCCGTCGCCGCCGCAGCCTGCCTCCACCTTAGCTCGCCACCGACGCCGCAGAAGCTGGGGAGACGCCCCCTTCATCTTCTAGTCGAGCGGCCCAAGGACCCCGCCCGGAATCGGGCTGTCCGCCGCGGACGCCTGACAGACAGGCCCAAATTGGGGCTACTCTCGGGTACTTTTCCCTCAGTGTCCGGCACAAAACATCTTTCCTAAGCTATATATGAGCTAGAGTAAAATTAGGAGGCCTCTGAGTTCCTCAAGCCCGAGGAATTTTTAATCAGGCGCATTTGGGTAGCCCCGAACCTCTGGCCTATGGTCCCCTTATGCATATGCAGCAGATTGTGATCCTTACTGTTTGAGAGCGGGGCGGGCCGGCGTCGCTTAGTTGCCCTGATTCCCACTAAGCTCTTCTATCTTGTGGTCAACGCACTCCGAGAAAACATCTCGTGGCTCAGATCTGGCCACGAGATCTGGCCCTTTCAACCATGGGCAAAGAACTGGGCTCAGAACGTGGTTCCTTCTGGGTGATGAAATGGCTCGCCCCGGGCTTGTTAAAGTTTAGATGAGTCAGTGTGTTCACTCGCTAGCTAATTAGGCTCGGTCCTGGTCGCATACTATGCGCAAGCGCAATGCTGGCGGTAGACTTCGGCTCCTGACCCCAGTTTTCCCAACCAAGAGGTGAGACTATCACCCTGTGATCACTTTATCCTAATACTTTCAATCGTACCAGTACATAATTAGACATCGTGGGAAGCACTATGAGGCAAAGTAAGGAGAGTTACGAGAAATTAATGGGATCCTGGTTCCTGAAGAAGAATGAGTGTTGTTGGAACCTTCTTGGGCAAATTGAGTTTGTGCGTTGTGTGAGCCCAGGGGTATTGTTCCAGACATGAGGGTGACAATCCTAAGCAGAGTGGGAGATGAGCAAAAATATGACAGGCACCTTGGTCATGAGTTTGGATCTTCGTCTTGAGAGGCATTGGAAGCTGTTTTCTTAGGGGGAATGAAAAAGAATTTGGGTCTCTCTAAGACCACTGGCTTTTCAGGATTAGAAGACATGGAGGTGAGGTTCGGGATGAGAGACCAGCTAAGCAACCTGAACAGCTTTCCAAAGTCACGGTGACTCAGACAGGTGGTGGCTAAGGGAGTTAGAAGAGATCATATCAGACTCAACCGTGAGGCACAGGCATTGGTCTTAACTAGGAAGGGGTGAGGAGCCCTTACCCAAGGTGGAAAAGCTGGAAGAAAGACAGGCTGCTGGGGACAATCAGGAGTGTGACTGAGAAGTTGTAGCTGAAATGCCTGGGTATCCTGTCCATAGGGAGAATGGAGCTAGACGGGCTGCTAGGGCTTCCTCGGGTCGTGATGTTGCTGAGAAGCCAGGGTCAGAAGGAAGGAAGGAAAGTGGGCTAGGGAGGAGCCAGGAAAAGAGCTGGATGCAGTGAGCAGACTTTATTGTCCCCACTGCCACAGTCTGGTCCATAAAGCAGGGGTTCAAGTAGGAAGAAATACTCTGCCTGGCTGGCTGCTGTTGAGACAAGGGACACCTTGGATTTGGGAATGAGATGGGTCTGTAGCCTGTGCTCTTTTTGTTGCAAGTTAAAAAAGAAACCCATTGTAAATTACTGGTTTAAAAAGGAAATGGGTAGCAGATGGAGTCGCTTGGCAGTGTCACGGAGGACCTGGGCTCATTCCATCTCTCTGTTGTCCTTCAGTTGGTTTCATGCTCACACAATGGCCATCCCCGTTCCCGGTATCACCTGTGACCCAAGACAATATTCATTCTTCCCTTAGTTGAGACTACAGCAGGCCTATGACCTCTTGTTGTTCAGTTGCTTATGAGCCCATAATGACCAGTGTATGGTATCTGGTACTCCCGTCATCCACAACAGGAGAAACCAGAAAGCCAGGAAGCTCTTGATTAGATAGATGAAAATGGGGCCGAGCACTGGCAGGGACAAGGCAACTCACATTCTTGTCCACAGCTGATGGTGCTGCACCCACTCTAGAAAACTCTCAGCATCTCCTTGTTCTCATCACACCCCTGTGCCATGCCCAGATTCTCCACGCCTGTGGACTGGGTCTCCCTGAAGCCCCATGCAAGACTGTCTTTAGCAGAGGAGTTCCTGGTTCAGCCAGTCTGGAGACAATGCAGTGTCCATCCACAGGAGAATGGACCAGTCCACAGTGCAGTGTGCAGTCTGTGGGATACATTTGACACTTGGTAGCCTCTCTTCTGCATGGGAGGTTAAAAAATGTTTGTAAAATATTTGCAAGGCATTCTTGTCATCATTCCCTAAAAAAAAAAAAAAAATCATAATGGAATAATTGCCTATGTAGCTCTTAGAGGCTTTAGCTCAGCCGTCTAGAGCTGGGCTGAAGTACATGGCAGGATGTGTGTAGGTTACCTGTAAATGCTGCACCATTTTATGCAAGAGACTTACGCATCCTCATATTTGGGGGCTTTGAAATCCCCTCTGAATTTTGAGGGACAAGTGCATTTTATACATAAATGTAACAAACCACTGACACATGAAACACTACAGATTGCTCTGACATACAGGATGTGGGCTAAAAGGAGCTGGGGGCCCAAGCCAATGCAAAGGGCATGATCCCATTGTTCAAAGGAAGGTGAAACTGATCCATGGTGATAGCAATCAATTAGTGGTTTCAGGGAGTAAGGAAAGGAAGGGAAGATGCAAAGACTTGGCTCAGGTAGGGGAAACGCCTATCAAGCTGGTCCTAAAGCCAGGGAACTTTATGTAGGTTATTCCTCAAGAAAAAAAAAAAAAGAAAGGAATGCTTTTTAAGACCCCACACGGGTTAGAAAGTATGTTTCTGGTGTTTTCATGGCAGTCTGGGCATTGGCAAAGCCCAAGTGGCCAGCTTTCTTATGGGGATTCTGCAAGGCTGGAGGCAGGTAGGCTTCTGACCTCTGCCCACTAACCCATCTCCTTCCATCCGCAGGGTTGCCCACTTGGGGTCCTGAGATTTCAAATGACCCAGAAGCCCCTTCTGCCCTAAAATTTGGCTAAATTGACCTTGACTGCCTGCCAAAGCCTCCCAAATTGTCCCTACCCACCTGACACCCCACCAGGACTCCTGCTTTCCTCATCTCTGCAGCCTCTGAAACTTGTTCTTTCCTTTGCTCCCTTTAGAACTTCTCGTCTTCAATGTCAAAGTTTGGTCCTAGCCAGCACCCTTCCTCTCTTGGGCCTGTACTGGCCTCTCTGTTCTGACTCCTGTCAAACCCAGAACAATCCTTGTGATTGCTAGTTTTGTCAATGTGACCTAGAATCACCTGAGAGAATCCCAGTGAGGGACTGTCTAGTTCAGGTTGGCCTATAGTCAGATCTGTGAGAAAATAGTCCTAATTGCCTTAATTAATATGGGAAGACCCAGCCTGAAAGTTGGCAGCACCACTCCCTGGCTTTGGAGCCTGAACTGTATAAGTAGAGAAAGCTAGGTGAACACCAAACTCTGTGCATTCATTTCTGTCTGCCCATGACTGTGGATGTGGTGTGGCCAAGTTGCTTCAAGCTCTTATCACCTTGACGTCTCTGAATCAACTGACCATAACCTGGAACTGTAAGTCACATCTCCTCTGAATTGTTCTCTGTCAGGTCTTTTGTTTGTTGTTTTTAATCACAGCAACAGAAGTCAGAGGCATCCTTCACACAGTAGCCAGGGGACTAAGACGCTACGACGACCCTGTCACTCTTCCTCTGGAGGTGATGTCCCCTTCCTCTGTAGTCACCTGTTAAGGTCCTCCCCATCAGCTGTCAAAGCCCCAAGGCCAGTTGAGATGAGCAATAGTGCAAGCAAGGCCAAGGCAGACTCACTTCCTGTGCCTGGGTAACCCCAGGAGAGCTGGAGCCTGAGCACACTGTATTCTTCTATTGCTTCAATAAAACACCATGACCAAAAGCAACTTAGGAAGAGTTTATTTTGGCTTATGGTTCAGGGTGGGGGTGGCAGCAGGAGATGGTGGTGGCGGCTAGAGTCCATAACGGCAGGGAAGGTGTGGCAGCAGGAGCAGGAAGCTGAGATCACATCTCCACCACCCACAGGAAACAGAGAGCAAACTGGAAGTGGGACCAGGCTGTGAACTGTCAGCGACCACCCACCCTCAGTGATGTGTAGCCTCCAGCAAGGCTCCATGTCCTAAAAGTTCCAAAACATCCCCAAACAGTGTCAAGTTGAAATCTATGCCCCTATGGAGATCTTTCTTATTCAAACTCAGCAGCAGGGCGGTTTGGGGCTGGCAGGAGGCAGAAAGTGGTAGATGGTATAGTATACATTATATTGGCTAAGAAGCTGGTTCTGGAGGTGGGGTCCCCCCCCCCCCCGCCGCCCTTTTCAGAGCCAAATATGTTTCTGTTAAGTGTCTTCCAAGAATCCTCCTCTGGAGAGGCCAAGCCCCTCTAACTGGCAGCAGAGCAGCCTGAGTCAAAACACTGTTCTCCAGGAAAGCTAGAAGAGTAAGCATTTCCAACAGATGTTACTGTGTTTACCCTATGATGAAGAAAGCTTAGCCAGAGAGAGAAATCACAGTTGGAATACAGGCTGACTGCTTCAGCCTCCCATAGCTTCCTTCCTTCCTTCCTTCCTTCCTTCCTTCCTTCCTTCCTTCCTTCCTTCCTTCCTTCCTTTCCTCCCTCCCTCCTTCCCTCTTTCCTGGTTTTTAGAGACAGGATTTCTCTGTGAAACACTCCTGGCTGTCCCGGAGCTCACTCTGTAGCCCAGGCTGGCCTTGAACTCACAGAGACCTGCCCTCCTCCACTTCCTGAGTGCTGGGATTAAAGGTGTGTGCCACCACTGCTCGGCTACCTATGGTCTCTTTGTGCTAGATGTTTTGATGTCTAGCTGGACCTACTGCTTTTTTCTTTTCTTTTTGCTATATTCTTAACGAATTCACTCAAACTGAAAGCATGGCTCTGGAAGATCGATCATTCTCCAGGCCATACACAGCACAATGAAAGACTAAATTCCACTCTTTGCTTTTTCTGGGTGGCTTATTTTGAGACTGGGTTGGAATTCACGGTTTAGCCCAGGTTAGCCTCAAATTCATGATCCTCCTGCCTCAGCCTCCTGAGAGCCAGTGCTAGCAAATGTCACCACACTTAGCTTGCTGCCTTTTTTTTTTTTTACTGATGCCCAACCCCTACTTAGCTGCTGACTAGAGTCATAGAAGTCAGTCAGAGCTGCATCGCAGCTTTGGGGGCCCAGTGACTGGTCTTCAGGGAACTTATGTCACAGATGGGAGACCAGTGTGTAAAATCAGGATGCCTCCCTTCCCATGCCACCCCTGCACGACACAATTCTGTCAGTAAGACCTTCTTACCAAGAGCTGGATTCAGGAAATTGGTCCTGTAGTGGAACAATAACATTAAAGGCACCAAAGAAGTTGTGTGATATCAACTGGTTTAAAATGTAGCTGGAAATTTTACCAAGGTGATTAAAGAAACAAAAGACATCAGCTAGAGAGCTACAGCCTACTTCCTTTGCATACTTACCAGCCGCACACCCTCAAACACTAATTAACAGTCCTGCGACTTGTTTTCCCCATCTGTAAAGTGGGGGAGGAAACATTGACCCTCAGCTGATTCAGCCTTTGGCCGGGACACAGTGACTCTTAATAAGTGTTTAGAGTAGTGCCTGTCACCTGTCACCACGAA